GTTTTTCAGGCCGCTCTTCAGGTCAATAACTCTGCTGTTGTAGGGGGGTGGGGGTCCTGCTGCACGCTGCCTTAACACAAACTCCCCTACAAAAACACACAGCAGGACAGCACCTACACAAACTGTGTACAACCATAAACTGGTTAAAAATAAAAATAAAAAATAGCTAAAAATCAAGAGAATCAGTAAATCTGCTGCTTGTTTAGGTTAAAAAAACTTACAGAGATTTTTTGGCCTAATTATTACAATTTCTGCCCAATCCAGGAAAACACAAAACTTTTGTCTTTTRGGTTTTAGAAAATTTAGTTGAAGAAGACATTTTCAATTTAAAGGACATCTTCATCAACTGACTTTTTACTTTTTACTCTGAAGTTTCTCTCTGGTCTGGATACCAAAAACACCTACCCTCAATAAAATGTGTCACCCTGAAAAAACACGACTGCAGTAGTTTGTTTTGTGGTTTTTAAAATAAAGCTCAACAATGTGTTTGAAACTGGGGTTTTAGACCAACTCAAGAACAAACTTAAAAAAAATAATAAATTCTGAAAAGTGTGGGGTGGGTTTGTTGATTTCTCTTTAACAAACACGTGATCAAAATTAATGTATATATGTTATTTTACAAATAAAACGAGCTAAAACTTTGCGTGGTATAGCTGAGACTCCCTAACACAAACTCTCAAAATGTTTTTATTAAAAACTTTGGCGATGTGTATTTTTTAAGGAATAAGTTTTGATTATAAATGTGAATTTAGGAAAGGAAACACAAGCTTCGATAAGCTGATTGTTCTTTTTGCAGTTTCAACTGTCAAGTCCAAAACTGAAGTAAGMCTTAATAAAAATGTGATTTTCAAATAAATCTCCTGAAATTCATTTATTACCAGAGGTGGGTAGAGTACTCCAGGATTTAATATTTAGTAAAAAGGCTACTTGAGTACTGAGTATAACATTTGATTTAATATTTTAAAATGATGTCATCAGACTGACATAAAATAGAAAGTGCAAATTCTGTTTTTAAAAAGACTAAAATGAAGCCAATTATTGCAAACGAAAAAAAAGGGTAAAATACTTTTAGCAACTATACTGTTTACCATACATCAGGGCTATTCAACTGATGGCCCGCAGGCCACATCTTGCCCACAAGTGACCAAAGTTTGGCCCGCCTATTGGTTCATTCATCTTTTGAGCCCAAACCCTCGGTTTCTACTTTAATCACTCYAAGTTCTTTTAGTTAAACACAGACATGTTTGGTTTCTACAGAAACATCAGAATCTTGGCTATAAACTGGTAAAAACCATTTCTATGAACACTCCAGACAGTTAAAATTACAAGCAGTTGAAGATAAAATTATGAAAGTGAAAATAAAATTGGTTTAAAAATTTGGCGTCTGTGATTTTGAAATATTATTTCTGGTAAATAGGAGGCACAATGTGTTCTTTTTGTTTTTGTTTGTTGTTTTATTATCACTATGTTGTATTCATGGTTGAATGCAGTAAAATAAACTATTTCAAAGGTAACAGATCTTTGTAATACTTGGTTTATTTACATAATGACTTTATTTGCTGGATGTTCGGTCCCTGAGCCGTTGACCTGCAGTAACTGTGGCCTCCAGAACAAGTTGAACAGCCCTGATATTCATTTATCACTTGACCTCCAAATGTCTCAGCAGGTTCAGCAGATAGAAAATAGCGTTGGAACAATAAAGTTTGTTTTCTTCAATATAAACTGTCAAAGTCTCTCTGGTGCATTTCTGGTTCCATGTTTGTTCTTCGTTCAGTGAAGTTTTGGTGGTCATCATGGCTTTTGGTTTTTTGGGTGCCACCCTGCGCTCATCTTTGAAAACTTTCATCCTAATTAAAGAATTGTTCCCAAAGCAGCTCATCTGCCTCCTGACAGTGAATCAGCTGAATCTGCAGTGTTTTGATTCGCAGTTCTTTTCAGTTTTGTTCACTGCAGATGTTATCGTTTTGCACACAGATGTTATCACGGCTCAGAGCTGATGGTGGTGGGGGGGTGTCTCTGTGTGCTCACAGAGGGCAGAGCTGAGCTGGTGCATGAAGTCTGGTGACATCATGCACCAGCTCACCAGTAAGAGCAGGAGTGCAGGTCTTCCATCACTCCGTCAGGGGGGGAAACAGCAGAAACCTTGTGTCACCTGTGTGATTATCATGAGTTTGCAGCAGGAGAGGAAAATCATTTGTAGCAGAAAAGGTGGGGAAATGCTGAGAGCAGCACTCAGTGCACAAAGACCAGGAGGGGGACCACCCCCCCCCCTTTTTTTTTTCTCCAGAGAGCCATGGACCATTAATTTATAGAGGAGATGATGTTTCTTTTTCTTTTTTTAACAGAACCTGCAGAACCTGTTACTGGTGCCCCCGGTCAGGACTCACCTCCTCCAGCACGTAGACCGTGTTCCTGCAGCCCATCATCTTGGAGGTGAAGGAGGAGGTGGTCGGGGAGCTCCAGTCCTCCTGAACCTCCTGCACGAACTCCGACACGGAGACGCACTCCGGCATGATTCACAACCAGGGTCAGTTGGACCGGGACGGATCAGATCCACATGAAAACCACTGAATCAATGAATAAAATACATTTAAAAAAAACGTGGAGTTATTTAAAAATGTCCAGGATTCAGTCAGACTCACCCAGAATCATGAAAAGGAAAATCAGCATCCGTGCACTGAGATGTTCTGGGAAGTGTGGACCAGTGGAACAGAACCGCAGCATCTAACGCCTCTTCCCTCCGAACAAAAGGTGACTCGGTCCGGACGGGGATTCAACCCAACAGCTAAAACTTCACAAAAAAAAATAATGCTCAGAAAAATAAAAGATAAGACGGAAAAGCCAGCAGCCTCCCTCTGAGCGTCTTCATCCAGAAGAATGAAACCCACAAAGCGCAGCTCCGGGCTTCGTGGACCGGCTGACAAAGAGCGGAGGTTCTGCAGGGGAGAACCGGACCCAGCGGACCCACTGTGGCACCGGGTTCGGATCGCAGGATCAGAGGGGTCTCGGTGGGTTTGTCCGTCACTCAGCAGCGGCTCTTTTCTCTTTTCGTTTCTTTATCGAACCGCATGGAGATGCGCGTTCACGGTGCACAGCGGCGGAGCCCTCTCGGCCGCGGCGGCGCGCACTGCTGACCGAGCCCCTACTGGGAGAACTGGGAGGTTGTATCAAAAATCAAATATTAAAAATCATCATCATCATCATCCYGACCTGAACTGCAACGTGCAGTTTCTAGTATTTTTTATTTATTCATTTATTTTATCTGTAGGTTAATTCTGAAATGCGGGTCCACACTCAGTGTAAACAAAGTCAACTGAATCCACCAAAAGCACTTAAAGGCTTCAGTCATGTAACTGGCATACATCAGGCTAACTGTAGTCAGCGTGGGCAAACAAATGTGGTCAATAAATTTAACCTTTTTTACAGTCACTTTGACTGTTTTTGGAAAACAAATGCAAGTTGTTGACATCTAGTCAACAACTACAAACTTTGCTTGAAAAGTTTAATTTAAGGACACATCAACCATCGATTTGAGACAATTTAATTATTATATTTTTTGTCCATTCCTAATGACTTGTAATGAGAACTTTTAAGAGTATCCTTATACCACTGGCGTAATTTGCAKGGGGGGTTATGACCTCCACRATAATTTAATCAAGTCAAAATAAACCCTCCAATAAAATKTAATAATTTGCTCAAACACAATAGAAATTAACTGGACATATGCATTGTTCTTGTTGTCTCCATTTTAACCTGATTTAAAAATTTATGATGTCATAATTTAAGCATGATTGCTAAAAATGACATGCAKGACTTTAGAGCATAACCCCCCAATGATGGACCTAAAGCACCCTTGCCTTATACCAGCTTTAGATGAAACTAAAAGTAACATATGACTGAAAAAATAGATCAAAAGTCGACACAAAATGACTTTAATTCACTTACTTTTACAGATACTGAGCAAATATTTGGTGTGGTAGAAGCTGAGATTCATTCCCAACTCATCCTCTGAGCATACGGCGTGAAATTACAAAATTATTTCTAAGGTTCGACAAAAACACCCACTACTCTGTCAGGATTTAGACACCATAGACAAAAATCACACTGATAATAAAAAAAATGAAAATAAAAAAATCTGCACTTATTTCATTTATAAACCTCTTCATAAGTGAATAAGTCAACTCAGAAAGCTACAGATTAATAGAAYGGGGGCTTTAAAAAAATAAAAGCAGCTAATGACGGAAATAATTTATAATCATCCCTTGACATCATTTCCTTAGTGTCTGAGGAAAAGAGCCCAATAAACTTGCATCGACATGACTGAGCATCAGCAGGAAACAATCAGCGTAAACTTCTCCACAGTAAACAAACTGTTTGTAGCTTCCTGTGGCACAAAGACTAACTGTATTCCTGCTTTTAGCTGAACTCTTTTCACCTTTTCCTATGTCAGCTTCTTTTAAAGGTCACACATAGAAAAACAGGAAAAAAGATACAAAGCAGCTCCATTATTGAAGTTTCCTATTGTATGCTGCAGCTTACTGTAAAAAAAGATAAAAAAAAAAGATAAAACCATTAAAGAAGATGTAATTTAGTGAATGAGTTTTCCTTCTATGGAGAAATGGAGGATGGGAGTTGGTGTAACAATACAGAAATAAATTAAGCAAAGCAATAAAAAGTATAATAATTACTGTACAAACGTGCATCACTGGGTGCCTTTTCAGTACAATCATGGTGCCCATACTTATGAGAAAACACAATGAGTGCCCTTTAAATCAACAAAACACACAAAGAAGTGTCTTCTCAGTGAAGAACAAAAGAAGTGAGCCCTAAAATATGGCTCCTTGATGGTCATTAAAGCAAAATGAACTTGTTTTAATGTAGGCTGATGTGGATATTTTTATTTTTCTGAATATAAACATGAACAAAAGCACACCTAGAATTAACTTCTACTGCTTCAGTTTAGAAAAGRTGATGATTCATCAGGTTATAGTAAAATAAACTGTATGTTTATAATAATTATTAAAATTTATAAATCTGAGGTAAGCAGTGACAAACAATTTCCTCTAGTCATGGACTAATCCAGCACAAAAATAAATCCTTCATTAATATCTACAATGGACGACAGACAGAGAAAGTGTTCGATCAGTCAGCATGAGAGGACAAAGACGTTTCTTCATCCTTTGACGATGAGGGAGCTGATTTGCCCCGGCAGCGTGTAGATGATGAGAACCAGGAAGAGCGTCAAGATGATGAGGATGACCAGAGCTATGATGTACTTCTTGTAGTTCTTCCAGATGAGGAAGATGAAGGTCTTCATTGGGTTGATGAACCAGTTGAAGCTGGTGGTTGGACGACTAGAGACGAAAGGAGACAGTTTGTGTCTGTTTACCTACAGGTCCAGTCACACCGTGTTTAAAAGAGTAAACTTTATTTTACAGTTATTCTGGGTTCAAGCATGATGTAAATTAGTTACTTTGGCTTGTCTAGAGGCTCCGGCTCTTTCCGTGCTCGTCCCACAGGGTTGGCCTCYGCTTGCTCTAAAGCCACCAGTTGAAGCTCCGCCTCCACCTTCCCCTTCACACAAACAGCTCAGCGTGACTTTATAAAATTAATAACAATGAACCAGGTAAGTATCAAGTAAGTACTACGCAAGTACCAGGTAAGTACTAGGAACGTACGAGTAAGAACCAGGTAATTACCAGGTAAGTATCAGGTAAGAAACAGATAAGTACCATGCAAGTACTAGGAATGTACTTGTAAGAACTAGGTAATTACCAGGTAAGTACTAGTTAAGTACAAGTAAGAACAAGGTAAGTACCATGTCAGTACTAGGTAAGTACAGGTAAGAAAYAAATAAGTACATGTAAGTACTAGGTACTAGTTAAGAACATGTAAGTACCAGGTAAATACAAGGTAAATTACCAGGTAAGTATCATGTAAATACTATGTTAGTACTAGTTAAATACCAGGTATGAAACWGTTAAAAACCATGTAAGTACTAGGTAAGAACCAGGTAAGCAMTASTTAAGAACATGTAAGTACCAGGTAAATACTAGGAAAGTACCAGATAAGTATATGTAAGTACTATGTAAGTACTAGTTAAATATYAGGTATGAAACAGTTAAGTRCCATGTAAGTACTAGGTAAGAACCAGGTAAGTTCTAGGTAAGTACAGTAAGAGCCAGTACCAGGTAAGTTCTAAGTAAGTACCAGATAAGAAACAAAAAGTACCAAGTAAGTATTATGTAAGTACTACATAAGTGCCAGGTAAGAAACCGGTAAGTAGGCAAGAACAAGGTAAGTACCATGTAACTACAAGGTAAGAACCAGGTAATAAGTACCATGTAAGTACTAGGTAAGTAACAGATAAGTACTACATAAGTACCAGGTAAGTACTACATAAGTACCAGTAAGTTCTGGGTAAGTACCAGGTAAGTACTACATAAGTAAGTTCTAGGTAAGTGCCAGGTAAGTAGCCGGTAAACACTAGGTAAGTATATAAGATGAGTCAAAAACTATGATTAATTTAAATCTTGGTTTCAAATAAATAAAASGGTAAATATTTGGTACCATTAAGAGGAAAGTGTTGCCCAAGTTGTCGGTGTACTGGATGTCCTCTTCTCTCAGCTTGCTCCTCTTGTCTTTGCTCTTCTTTTTTTTCTTGCTTCCCTTCTTCATGGTCTCCTGTCGCTCCTTCTCCTCGCGCTCGAAGTCCTCGGCTGTCTTCAGGCGGATCAGCGGCCACCAGCCCTTCATCTTTTTGGCGCGGAAGATGGAGAAGCGAGGGCTGGCGAAGTCCTTCGCCATCTCAATCGTGCACTTGTTGGCTGTTTTCGCAGGTCGAACCATGTTACTGAGAGAAAGCTCTATGGAGCCTTTAAAAAACAGAGAAAACAAAGAAGMTTTTAGCAAAAAAAATTAATAAGAGTTTATAATTTAACAAATGTAAATATTTATTTCTCACCTAGGAAGTCATTGGCTCCGATACGATCATAGTCCCAGACCTGAAGGGACAGAACAGCCGGCTGACGAAACTCAGACTCTTCCAGAGAAAAGATAGACTCCTTCTTTTTATACACCACCTCTTTCTACCATAGCAGAAACAATGTATTACTGTATTATCCACCATATTTATTCCCTTTATTTGTGTTATTTCTGCAAACACCGGAGTCCTGAAGAACCCAAGAGAACCAGTTTTGAATGATACACCTCAGGGATCAGCTTAATACCTCAGTAGGAAGGTAGTCAAAGCGGAAAATAAATCTCCAGTTAAAGTTTCCTTCTCCAGTCAGGGAGTTGAAGTGGACATCAGTCTCCTGTTTGTCTCCRTCCAGCCCTTTTATCCAGCTGCAAACACACAGAAACACTGAGCTRAGAGGGGGACTGCATGCAGGGACCACTGAACCTGGATTTTGGACAGCTGAACTGAGTCCGTTCCAGTTTTGTGATCATGTAAGTGTGAGTCCAACCCTTTGACGTAGATGTCGGAGGACGGGTCGCCTGTGAACGGGTTGACGTCGTCCAGAAACACGTCGTCCGTGTTCCAGATGATCACTCGCAGCTCGTATCTGCCATAAAACAACAGTAGAGGTGAAGTTTCATTCTGTGTTTTGTAGTTTTTCAGTCCATTTTGCTGACGTACTGCTCAGGTAGGCGGGGCTTTATGTCAACAGCGGGCGGGGCTGGGACATCAGTGGGAAACATGTCTACCCACATATGAAGGTAACCCTGCAACACACAAACACACGTTGTTGAAAGCAACACTAAAACAGCTCGTTATTCTTTTTTCTGYGTCGATACCTGTGGAAGTCCAGGACTGTCCTGGTTCTGCAGAGACCGGATCTCCACATGTTCTGGGACCAAAGAAACGGCTCCAGGGAGGAACTCTCTCATCTCGCCCCAGCGCTGCAGCACACTCAGGGCTGAATGCTCCTCTATCTCTGCCTCATCCTCTGGAGACCGCTGGTTCTTCTTCAACAGCCCTGAAAACAACAAAACTTCTGTTAGAGCGAAAGAAGACAGATGCTACTTAGACAAGAATCTATGTCAAAATAAATCTAGATGAAGTAGTTTTGTTGTTGTCTCTGACATTAAATAGACGTCCACTCATCTCCTACCTTCAGGTATAGCATCTGGTGGTATTTTAAAGATCTTGTTGAGTACTTTCACTTCAGATGTTCTGAACTCTGGAGACGGGATCCCGTTCTTCCTGCAGAGCTCAGTCAGGATCGTCGACGGCTTCTTTGCATCACGCCACTTATTGTAACCGTCACTTCAAAGGCAGACAGACAGGCAGGCTTTAAAAGCAGCACAGGCTAACACCAGTGTAGAGCCAATGCCGTGTGCCGTTTGGTACTAACGTATCATAGTAAAGAGCAAGACCACAGGAAGCCAGATGTCGGCTGTAGAACCGGTTCTCCAAGTCAACCCGGGTCTCGCCGATAACATCATCCGATCCGATGAGATCATGGTCCATAACCATGATGACCAACTCTGTCTCCAGGGGAAACGACACCGTGAGTTCAAACACCCTGAAATATGAATCATATATTTAGAGATGAGGGTCAGAAACAGGCGGACAAATGAAGACAGGACAGTACTGACTCTCCAAACGTTGGGTTGAGCTGTTTGGGGATGTATCGATCTTTGGAGTCCAGACATTGTTCTCCCACCTTGATTATMAGATATGGGTCGGCCTTACCGTTTGGGTCTGTAGGAGCCAGACTGGTGGCCTGCAGAATGAAAGTGTATTTCTTTTAAGCCTAATAACGTACAATCTGCAATGTGAGGCAGCGACAGGCAAGTACCTTGACGATGTAAACTCTGACTAAAATTTTTATTGGAGAGTTTTTGGGGATTCCGTTTGTGATCTGACACATGAGGTCCTCTTTGTCTTCTGGATCGATGGGGTAAACCAGGAAGGAACCCTGAAGGTGGGTGGAAATGATGAAACTGAATGCTTTTCAACAGAAACACCAGCAGATGAACCAACACACACAGTTCCTCCAGCTTTACTTTATATTTCCCCATCTGCCTGTCCTGGTCATCATCATCATCGTCGTCAGAGATTGCTCTTCCCTTATAGAGAGGAAAGGTCTTCAGCCAGTCCTGAAACTGTCTGAACTCCGACTCCAGGTCGCCGTCATACAGCTGAACACAAACACACGTCATATTAAAGGGATCCCTGATTAGTCGTAACATTAGACTTTCTTTTATAAACATATATTTTAACTGTAAAATAAAGACAGTATATATACTGTAGCCTGTTTAGTTTTGTAAATTTTTTTWAAATATATTTTAACACGGACGGAGCCATTTTATTTAAACATAAAGCATTCTGGGTAAATGTTGACGTGGATAGGTCCTCGGTGTGAGCGAGCTATATCCACCCTGAAGGTTAATCTTGAACAATATCTGACGATCGACTGTAAAATAAAGATGGTAAAAATACTGTAGAC